GATGACGGACAATGATGAAAATTTGATGCTTTGAAGTCATAATAGTCATGAAATGTGTGAAATTCTGGTATTGAAAAGAGAGCGGCCAGCAAGGCTCAGATCCTGGGGGTTGCGAGAAGCTTGCTGGGAGGTTTGTCTGCATTTCGACACCAACTTCCCATTGCTTGTTCCTAGCTTCTTTTGTTTAAAAAAAAAAGTCGAATTCACACAAGATAAATGGAAACAGTTGATAAGCGAGTCATACAGTTTCTATGTAGAAAACTAATATTCTTTCATGAAAATTGGTATATAAAAGAATGAAGTTCATTTGCATAGACTGGCATATACTTTCTGAGTGGTTTTTAAAGTTTCTCTTCCACAGATTCACTAGCAGCATGGAAGGTCAGCCTTGAGCTCTGCAGTTAGCACTGTGGGAGGGGCTCTGAGAGAGGAGAGCTTTGGGGCTGTGATGTACATCTTTTCAGTAGTAATTCTGAGTGCCCTTTAGTCTCTGAGTCAGGATTCATCACTGCCCTAAAAAGGGCATATTTACATGAGATTGTGTTTCTGAAACTTTATTAAGATGGAGACATTCCTTAATAGAGGGAATATAGGTTTCATGTTTGACCCAACCACTTAAAAAGTAAAAGTTTTAAAATTCAATAAACCTCTGTATATTATCTATAAAGTTACTGGCTTTTTTCGAATTTTCAGGTAATTATAACTGGTGAGTCTTAAGGTTCTTACAGTGCCAACTTGAAGGCTTCTCATACCTTATCTGATTTAATGTTTTGTAATCATAGAAAACTTAGGAAGTATTATTTACAAGTTTTCTATTATACCTAAAAAGTGAGAAGTCTGTACAAGGCAATATTGACATGTTCAGAGCATTTCTATCCTTGTAAGCAGGTTTTAAAAAAAATGACCCATGATCCCTAGTGCAATACAGAAGTAGGAATCAAGAGAGGATATCATTAGTTCAGTATAGCTTAAATCACTTGTAGATTCTATTTATTTATTTGTCTATTTGTTTATTTGTTTATTTTTTGCAAGGGTTGAGTCCCAGGTAGATCAGTGAGAACTTTGAGGTAAAGCAAAGCATTGATGACACAGGAAGCAGTCAACACAGTGCCTCATGGTTCTTGTCAAGTGTTACATTGTTTCATGGGCATCTTGGAGTGGGAGCTCTGGCCCATTGAAATGTCCTGAAAGGATAGGTTCTTCTGTCACCGGCTGAAGCTGAGTGGATGAAATGATAACAATAGAGTGTCGTAATGCTTTTTAAAGTGTGAGAGATCAGTCTGTCTAGACTGAGAGTGTGTCTGCAGGGACTAGGAGTTTCAGAGCTCCGTGCCCTCTCTGTGTCAGATACGTGAGCTTGCCAGCCTTCCATCCTGTCCCCCAGCAGCTCTGTCCAGCGGCACCACCCACACGCAGGGACTGTATGTCAGAAACCTGGGCTGCAAAACTCGGAAACTCATTTGTTCAAATGCCAGCTTTAAAGCAGGGGAAGGTATCAATAAAGAACTGCCATAATTTTTGGAAGCTGGTAGTTAGGGGTGCAAAATATAAAGAGCTTAGCAACATTTGGTAGCTTCTTACTTTAAAGGGGTTTTCCATCCTAAATCAAGAAATACTATTTCCATTTTTTTAAAGCTTTATTTGTTTCTTAATTACTTTGGCATATAGATAACATACTTACTGAAGTTTATGAAGAAAAAGCCTGTTTCCTATGGTCCTATCTTCCTGAGGTAACTAGTGTTAAGAGTATAATGTTTCCTTTCCTATAGATCTTAATTTACAGAGTAGCCAATGTATAGTTCCCGCTCTTATGAATTCAGCTCATAATAGAAGGACTACTGTGTAATTTGGAAACGAATCCTCACCCCATAATTTTGTAACACACATATTATCTCTTTATACCCACTTAAACTATAGCTGAGGAAACAGTACATGTTAATATAAAGATACAACATGTTAAATAAGAAGTTAGCATGACAGATTACAAAACTATACTGAATTAAAAAGGGAAATAAGTATTGAGGACTCCCCAGGAGCTGAGTCCTTTTCAAGCTCTTGAGGAATATGTTTTAGAAGGTCAATACTGGTAATTACTTTTCTTTGAAGTTGAACTTGACCATTAAAAATTACCAATTAGGCCCTGACCTGTGAGGCTCAGTTGGTTGAGCATCACCCTGTGCACCAAAGGGCTGCTGGTTTGATTGCAGGTCAGGGCACATGCCCGGGCTTCAGGCTCCATCCCTGGTGAGGGATGTGCAGGAGGCAGCGATCAGTGTTCTGCTCTCCCATCAATGTTTCTCTCTCTTTCCCTCCCCCTTCCTCTCTCTCTAAAAATCAATTTAAAACCAAGACAATGAAAATGTACTCATATCTTCACAAGTATGCACCAGTTGCACTCATTTTGCTTTTATTCCATCCTCTATAAAAGAAACTATTTTTTAAAAATATATCTTTATTGATTTCAGAATGAGGAAGGGAGAGGGAGAGAGAGACAGAAACATCAGTGATGAGAGTCATTGATCGAGCCCACAACCCGGGCATGTGCCCTGACCGGGAATCGAACCCCGATCGCCTGGATCCTAGGTCGACGCTCAACTGCTGAGCCACGCCCGGCTGGGCAAAGAAACTTTTTAAAAATGTAGCCAAGTACTATGAATGCATGTTTCTGTAAGTGTGTATGTGGATCATTTTGATAGTTTCTCAAACAGACAAGTTTTGACAAAGCACACCTAATTATTGGTGCAGGTAGAAAGGTACTGTGCTAAGCAGAGGATTGGCTGTCAGCTAAAATAACTTCAGAGAATTGTGTTGTTAGGCTGTGGGTAGAAAGACTAGTTGAGTCAGAAGTACCCTTACTGTTTTCCCAGTACATGTTGCAGCGCTAGGCATTTATACTAATTCTGTGGTCCGTAGCATCGATTAGGGTGCTACTACAAATAAGCATTCGCCTTTAGAATTAGAGGCTATATTACAATGAAATTAAAACTTGCAAAATGGGTTCAATTTTCTGGTTTTCACAAGTTTGGTATAATCATTTTCATGTAAACTGTTCTTTTTAACCATTCACTCCATTCATTCATTCATTCATTCATTCATTCATTCATTTTACTACTGCTGTACAGCATCTTAATTGTTTTAAAACCCCATGAATTAGACATTATTATAATAATTTTTTACAGGCAACATTCTGTTTATCTACATGTTTACCAATTTCTTTTTTAAAATATTTTTCAATTTTTCAATTACAGTTGACATAATTATTATAGTTTCAGGCGTACAACATAGTGATTATACATTTATATATCTTACAAAGTGATCACCCCAATAAGTCTAGTACCCTTTTGATACTGTACATAGTTATTACAATATTATTGACTATATTCCTTAGCCGTACTTCATAGCCCCGTCACTCTTTTTACAAGTACCAGCCTGTAACTTCTCAATCCCTTTACTGTCTTCACCTCTTCCCCTAAACTCTCTGCCATCTGGCTACCATCAGTTTGTTCTCTGTATTTATGAGTTTTTTCTGTTTTGTTTATTTTGTATTTTAGATTCCACATATAAGTGAAATCATATGAATCATATGGTGTTTGTCTATGTCTGACTTATTTCATTTTGGAAAATATCCTCTAGGTCTATCTATGTTGTCACAAATAGCAAGATTTCATTTTTTTTATGGCCAAGTAATACTACATTATATATACCACTTCTTCCTTACCTGTCTATTGATGGACACTTAGGTTACTTCCATATCTTGGCTGTTGTAAATAATGCTGCGATGGACACACAGGGCTGCATATATCTTGTTGAATTGCTGTTTTGGGTTTCTTCGGATAAACACCCAGAAGTAGAATTCCTGGCGTCCCTCCCTCCTCAGGGAATCTCTGCAGCCAAGAGAACCCTCCCAATTCTTAATCACCACACTGTGCCTGTGGGACCTGCCTGTTCCGCCTCTCCGCCCCTCCTACCCATCTCCACGTGGCTTCTGTGTAGCCCTATTAAAGGGTTTCTGTTCAGCCAGCTTTCAGGTGGTTCTCAGCGACAGCTGTTCTGTAATTTCGTTGTAATTTTGATGCATTTGTGGAGGAAGTGAGTGTTGCGTTTTCCTACTCCAGCATACTGACTGGAAGTCTTAACCAGGTATTTAACACGTACATCAGCAAGCAAAGCATGACTTAAAATGCTTCAATGATGTGGTTGGCTCTGCTGTGAACTTTGATAAACCGAAGTGTTTATTACTAAATGGAGACCTACGGTCTGAATTATGTTATTGTTTTGTGTCCTCTCTGCTACTGTAATTTCATAAATATATCTAACCTGGGGCATCAGAATTGTATGCACTCATTAGTTGAGCATTCGATACTGGATAGAATTATAAAAAAGAGCCAAGTATGTTACCATTGTTTTTATATCACATTTCTACAAAATTGTACACTTTTTTAGCTTACCTTTGGAAATAGATTGGATATATCATTTACTTTTTAGCAGGTTTCACCAAAGGCAGATAAATCAAAATGCTAATTAGAATTGTTAATTGATTTTAATTCTTTGCAAAAAGGTTGAAGCCTTCCTCTGAATGGAATGCCTTGTTGTAGTCAGTTTGATAGAGAAACCATAGGTAATAGAGTTTTTTATTTAAAATTTAGTCATTTTCAATAGCCCTTACTGTTGATATACCTTCACATTCTTTCTGTGCTGACCAGTTGCACCACTCATGAAATAAGAGTCTGCTGACTATGGGCTCTTCCACCAGCACACTCTTCAGAAGTTACCTAAAAATGTTTTATGGATCCTTTTCCACTGTACCCTATATCCCCCAGTATTTCTTTTGTAAATGAAGGCAGCAGTTTATAGTGTAAAATAGCAGAGTAGTGAAATAAGCCAGGAAGCTTTAAACAAAACTCAGTGTACAAATGAATCCAAACAGAATTGTGTGAACACAGAAAGCAGCATTCAAGCGTCTGTTGGTTGCTGGAATGTGTCTGCTCTCTTTTCTGCAGGACATCACCACTTTAACTGGCGTCCCCGAGGAGCACATCAAAACCAGGAAGGTCAGGATCTTTGTCCCGGCTCGCAACAACATGCAGTCTGGGGTGAACAACACCAAGAAGTGGAAGCTGGAGTTCGACACCAGGGAGCGTTGGGAAAACCCTCTGATGGGCTGGGCATCCACGTGAGTACCTGGGTTTCACCTGAATAGCTTCCCAGCTCTTTTTCCGTCTAGATTTTCCTTCTAGACATGCTGATTTTAAAACTTCTTCATGTACAGTGCTTTTTGTGTAGACATCACTGCGTTCTATGACATGGTCATATATTTATATATAATATACATATTTAACATTCATGTGAGGTTGGCCCAGCAAAATCTACCATAGGAACAGTTGTTCTCAGAGTAGTTTATTGGATAAAAACGGCTGACATGTGAGCACTGTTAGTACGTCCCCAAGCTGTGCACATTAAGGTACACTACGTAAGTAGTGTTAATAATCACTAACACTTCACTTATTTTTAAATTAAAATAAAACTTCATAAAGTATGTTTTTGTTTGTCAGAGGAGGTGGCTAGATGAGATGATATATTAGAGGTTTTGAAGGAAGCTTGTAGGCTCCTAGATTTATGATTAATAAATGTGCAGTGCACTGGGATGAAGTAGTTATAAATTCTGTGGGCCAGTGAAATCAGTGACCTAAGTCTCCACTGTGGAATGTGGCCCACAGGTTAGGTAGCAGGACTGCCTCTAGCTGAGTAAAAGAAGCTGCTGCCAGAGATACAGCCAGGTAAGCTGGAAAGCGTCGTTCTAAGATTCCTAGAATATTACATGTGTCCAGTCTCCAGGTAAAGAGTTACTGGTTTAAATTGTCTCATTTTAGAAAAGTGTGATACAGAACATTCTTTCCTGTTGATGTACCTGGGAGAATTTTTGTTAAAAACATCTTCTGCATTGCAATTTAAATAGAATTACATTTTACTTGGCAAGATGACGTATAGACAATTTTTTAGGTATTTTGCATCTTTATATCTTATAGTTTATGTAATATATGGAGTGTTGTTGTAAATCACATTTGTAAGACTAACGAAATTTATAAGGAACAGTTTGTCAATGTGCAGTGGTTGGAATGTTATGATGACCTTTTCTTAAGTTGCGTGAGATTTTAACGTGTCCATCTTTACGCAGGATTCATCCATTGCACTATTTCCTGATGGCATTTGGTTAGTTTTCAGTTGGGGCTGCTATGCATAATACTAAAATGGAGGTTCTTGTACAGATCTTTTGGTGAATGCGCGGCTTGTTAATATGCCAGTAAATCCCGAAACATCAGTTATCAGTTAATAATGAAACCCGTTTATATTAAAAAGTAACAATAACCTGTTGATTCTCTAGTCCTTATGCTTATCTAGTGGATAGCAGTGGCAATGTGATGAGTTTTGTTCTAGCAGACAGTTAAATTATTGATGGCAATGGTAGAGGATGTGTTTTTTTGCATTCTGAGGGTGGGTCTGCCCCAGTCTTACCCTTGGTCTTAGTCCTGGAGCGTAGTGGTAAAAATAAGAAGGCATGGCCTTCCTGAGGCTCTGATGGAAAGCTCAGGTGTTTCCCAAGTCCCGCTTCTAACTGGGACTCCAGATTCACTCTCCCCTGGAGCAGGGAGACAGCTGCTGAAATCTCTGCTTGGTTCTTTCAGCCTTCTCAGCAGTTGTTTTAGAGCCTTGCTTATTCCTGTGCAGGTGGGGAGCTCCCTGCCCTGTGCACCCCTCTTTCTCACTGCTTCATCCCTACATTTCCAGCTGCTCTGGCAATCCTGAACACCATCCCAGACCTGATAGGACTGGCTTTTCTTCTGCTTGAGTTCTTTGTGCTCCTATCCATCTGGACTGGAGAACACCTTTAGGGGAAAGTATATAAACTTTGATCTACTCCAGGGTGGTTTCTTCTTTCCAAGGTTGAATCCTCCGTTCTTCCCTGTTTTTGGTCACTCTCTGACTCCTGCAGTTGTTTTGTCCAGAACTTATCATTAGGCAGGTGAATCTGCCATTACCCAAATTGGAATCTCAGTAAAAGAATTCAACAAATAAAATCTAAAAATATAGGCACAAACTGTGTTGAGTACAGACTGGGAAGAGAGAGGTGTACAGTTGGAGGGTAGGGTACAGAAGACTTCTGGAAAAGATCGGCACTCACGGTGCACCGTGAGGTGCAGCTGGGGGGACCTCTGGGTGCTGAGGCCTTGCTCTCCCTCTGCTTCCCAAGTGGGAGGAACAGGTGAAGCTCGGGAGAGATGTGGGGACTTAAAAAACTTTCTTTTCTCCCACTTTCCAAGTTCCTCCAGCTGGGCTAATAATCAGATTAACAGAGTCAGATTCATAGGAGAAAGTCAAATTTTAATACGTGCACACGAGGAATTCATGTAAGCATGAAAATTCCAAAGACAGTGAGACAAGATAGGGCACATATGTCATTTTGGACAAATGAGAAAAGGGAGAACAGGACCGTAGATTTCAGCTGTGAAAATGGATAATTTACAGGAAGAGTGAACCAAACATGGCAGGCAAGTTCCTTCAGGTGGCCCAGAAGGAGTGAGCCACCGGGGCCTATATAGAGCCCCCCATCTGCCACCCTCGTTGAATTGGGCTAATGCAGATGTCCAGAATGTCCTCCCTGCGGCAGGCCTTTCCACCTGTCTCCTGGGCAGAGCAGGAAGAGGGTCAGAGCTGCTTTCTGAGTCATTGTTTTATAATAACCAGCTTAAAATCAATATCCCAAAAACATGGTTTCAGGGGTGGTGAAACTTTTTGGTCCCCTTCAAAACATACAGGTTACACTTAGAGGAGTTAGCAATCTGATGTCAAACAGTTAACAGTTTTAAATGGTTTACTTGAAATAAGATACTTCATCAGTACTGTACTTGTTTGATATTATAGCAACTGTTTATAGTCTAAACATTTTACGTTATTTTAAATATTGTTTTTCCAGCCAAAACTTAATGTTAAATCCTGTAAAAAAATTGTTTTTTACAGGGCTGATCCCTTGTCCAACTTGGTTCTAACCTTTAGTACTAAAGAAGATGCAGTTGCCTTCGCAGAAAAAAATGGTATGTTTGGTCTGTTTCTGTTTGGCTTTAACAAATAAAATGAGTTTATGTTCTTAATATTAATCAAAACCAGTCAGGATATAGAGTTTGAGTTGAGAGAAATTTTTCAGTGTACCTAGTCCAGTGGTTTTAAGAATTTTACCACCAAGCCTGGTCGGGCGTGACTCAGCGGTTGAGCGTCGACCTAGGATCCAGGCGATCAGGGTTTGATTCCCGGTCAGGGCACATGCCCGGGTTGTGGGCTCCATCCCCAGTCGGGGGCGTGCAGGAGGCAGCCGACCAATGACCTTCTCATCATTGATGTTTCTGTCTATCTCTCTTTCCCTCTCCCTTCCTCTCTCTGAAATCAATAAAGATATATTTTTAAAAAAATAGAATTTTACCACCAAAAAAAATCTAAAACAGAGTTCCCACAAAGCATGGGACAGCTAGACTGCTCTGATCTGAAGTAAGGCAGGAAATAAACCTAGTCGTCCAACTCCTGCCCTGCTTATGAGCCCCTCTGCAAAATCTCTAACATTTGGTGTTAAACTCTCATTGAACCTTCCCGTTTTGACACCCCTTTATTATTTTCTTTATTATTTTGAGTCAAAGCCCCCCATGTCTGTTATTCTACCTAATAGCTCTTCAGTTATTTCAAAATAGTTTTCATTGCCGTGTTCCCACTTGATCGTCTCGCAGGCTGTTCTGTAACTTTAGTCTAAGTGCACAGTGTTATAAAGTCCACAGTAGTGGCCAGTATGTCCGAGCCTCTCACGCACCCATCTACCCAGAGCAGCTCCCAGTCCTGTCAGCTCCGTTTGTGGTGAGCGCCCGACATCTTTTATATGGTGGGAACTGCTGAGAGGACTGAATGAGTTAAGTAGAAGTAAATAAAGTGCTTAGAACATAGTTAAGTAGCTATATAGCAGTACATCCATTTATCCTATCAGTAGGGGACTTACAAAAACTTTAAAAAATTACATAAGTGGAATTCCTCAATAGAACTATTTTTGGCAAATGTGAAAATATTTAATTAATTAATTAATTAATTTACTTTAATCCTCACCTGAGGATATTGTTTCCGTTGATTTTCAGAGAGTGGGAGAGAGAGACATGGCTGTGAGAGAGACATGTTGGTTAGTTGCCCCCTGCGGGTCCCCAGACCAGGGCCGGGAATTGAGCCTGCAGCTGAACTGAACCTGGGACCCTTTAGTCCACAGCCCGACACTACCCACCAAACACACCAGCCAGGCTGAAGTTTCTTTACTTGCATAACTGTTCTCAGAAATGCTCATAGTCTTTAAACATTACTTTGATTTAAATTTAACATTGTTCTCTTTATTAAACTGTTGCTGGGGAGAAAAATATTGTCTGCCTTTGCAGGTCCTAATAATAAAACAGACGTAAGAAAAGAGTAACAGGAGGAAAACTAGCTCAAACGTCGTACACGGCTGCAGGCTTGGGGCCCGGGGCAGGGCTGGGGCTGGGGGGGTGGGGGCAGGTGACAGGACGCCAAGAGCAGGTGTTCTTTGTGCCCTGTAGGGAGGTCATTCAGATAAAAGTTATTTCTGCTGGTAGGCAGCTCTTTTTCTGCATTGAGCCACCTGTCTGGAGTCTTTAGGTGGCTGAGGGAGAGGTGGACGTGTTTCTGTCTCTGCCGGGCAGGGTGGCCTTCAGCTTAGAGCCACCTACAGGCTCAAGTGGAATATTGGGGCCCTGTGATCATGTCCCTTCACTGACTAGAGCTCATCCATGATGTTGGCCATATTTGTAGGCTGCCATATTTTATGTGGGACTCCTTTAAAAGTCTTCATTTGCAGTCTGTGAGTTTAATAACAGGAAATCTAATTGAACTGTTAAATCTCTGGTCAGTGTCTCCCTGAGTGGTCATAGGGGCACATGGCGGCAGTTGTCATATGAGTTGTGGTATGAACTAGCCTCTGCCGCTTTTCAAACCAGGTGCTTTTCCAGTCCGGTGTCTGTATCCCCAGGAGAGAAAATTGAGGAACATTCTCACAGCCGATGGACAGTGTAACTTGGAAAAGCAGAGTGGACCGTACCTTACACAACTCCAGCCTAGCAGTGTATCAGGAGTTTCACTGTCCAAGGCAGCAGGAGTCGTATCTGTCTAAGCCACCACTTTGTCCCCAGGACTGAGCACAGAGCCTGTGTAATGGACACTCACATCTGGTGAAAGTACTGACCTTCTAAAGTGTATTTCTCTCCTCAAGAATGGGAGCCACTCTCATCTCCTGGGCAAGTCCTCTGTGACTATTTCACCCTTGCTTGCACTCACTCTAGTGCTTGTGCCCTGCCACATTTATCTAGTGTTTAGCATTATGTATCCTTAAGCAGCCAAGTCCTGTTTCTGTAGTTATGGCAGCGGTAATTCTAAACAAACACCAGCGAATGACACAGAATCGTGGGGCAGGGGGGTCTTTTCGTTGCCTGGCATCCCTTCCGCTCTGATTGGCTCTCTGGTACAAGTGGCTAATGGAAGGGCATGTGCATAGATCTCTCCTCCCCTCACGCCCCACACCATGTTGCGGTGGTGGTGCTGTTGAATGTTGGGTGAACCAGTGTCTGTCAGCTAAGGCCTCAGGAAGTTTTCAGAAGCACTAGTATATTAGACTCGTGGGGGAAGAGGCCGGTACCTGGGTGCTCCTCCACTACTGTCTGCCTCACAGGGAGCTGGCCCGCTGGTGCTCCGCTGTGCTCAGCCTTTGATAAACATACTCCCTGCTTCGAAATGAGGAGTGGAGTCCGTAATGCTCAGTAACCGTGGTGCACAGCCTGTGGACCAGCGCATATATATCTTTATTTCTTGGCCCCTGTCTAGCCCAGTGCCTTATTCATTATGTATTTGGGGGGATTGTTGATATAGAGGACTCTGTGTTGGATAGTAAAATTTGGCAACGGGTATCCATTTATGAGCATTAAATGTTTGCCTTTCAGTAGCATCTTGAAACAGGAGGTTAGGGTAAAACTGCCACACACACAAAAAGAATTGTTTACTGGGGGACTGTTGTGAAAATGAAAACCCTACCTTTCGTTTCCCTTACTTGTAAATGGCCAAGAAATAAAAAAGGCGGGGACCATTTCCCTCGATGTGAGGGTGTGTTGCTCTCTACAGCACGAGCCTTCAGACTCAGGCTCTCCCCTGACAACATTCTCATCATGTTCAGACCCAGGTAGTGAACATCGTCACCACAAAAGCCAAATTCGTAAGTGCGGAGTTATGAGCTAGACACGTGCTGAGTACTTGCCCTCTCCTTTAACCACTACTGCATGAAGCAGGAGCTGTTACCCCATGCTGCAGTTCAAGGAAACAGGTGGCAGGTTCCATCGATCCCCGGTCGGGTGCGTACCGGAGGCAACCCATCGATGTTTCCCTCTGTCCCCCTCTCACTCTCTCTCTGAAAAAGTTATTAAAACATATTTTTAAAAGAAGTGTTATCCCCTGAACTGTAGATGCATCTTACTTTTAGATCTTTGTGGAATGAAAAGACCCACCTTTCTCACCACTTGGTTTTTTCTGCTGTTTGAAGATGGGGTCCAGGGTGGGGTGCTGCATGTTTGAGAGAGGAGCTGGGAGATAACCGTAGAGAATTTCAGTGGTAAAAGGCTAGGACCCATACCATTTACATGCTCATGAAACAGAAACGCCTCCCCACCCCTCTCTGTTTGATCCGATCAGAAACCTTGTGATTGTCTCAGGTATTCTCTTTTACACCCCCCCCCC